AATGTCATGTTTCATAAACTTTTAATCTTAACATCTTATTTTGGTTGAGCAAAAAAAGAAGGAAAATAAAATTTAAATATTTTCATCAACTGTTTGACTTATGTATCTTTCATTGGGATTCYACCACACAACAAGCTTCTATTTAAGTGCTCAAACAATCTTTTGTTGAGCTTACATATTATATGTTTAATTCATTATTTATCCTTATTGAGTCTCAATTGATCATCTTTTCTTTCATATTTTTATTGATCCTCATTTGTCTACTTGTCTAGAAAACCTTGATAATGTTTTTTATTATTGATCTCTCGTTGACCCTCACGATTACCTCATTCACACGAATTCTCTTTTTGTATCAAAATAGCACATATTTCTTGTTATAAACTAAAAAAATTCTTACTTTTTATAAAAAAAATTATCAACATAGTTTCTATACTCTTGGTTTCAAATTATCTAATAAAAAGTATGTAAATTTAAGTACTCTTATATATATACAAGAGTATATATATATAAGAGTATATATATATATATATATATATATATATAAAGATAAATAAGATTTCTTTCCTCGGTAAATTATTAACATTTCTTGTACTCAATTTTATACTAATGGAAAACATTTATTAAATTTTTTTTCGTACTTACCGAGGGTCACTACAAAAAAAATGAGCATTGACGATTCACTTTTTAGCGACATGTTTCCGCCACAAGTTATAGCGACGACATGTTGTTATATACTTTTTCTAATGATAAATGGACTTTTAGCGACGACAAAGTCGTTGCTAAAAGTCTTGTTTCTTGCCGTGGGCCCTGTTTTTACGTTCGCCCAGGGTCTAAAAAATGTCAGGAACAGACCTGCGCACATGTGTATACCCGACAAATTGCTTATAAATTATTTATATGTACATGTGCATGCCGTTTAGACGAATGGTCGATGTTTTATACATTAATAAATAGATGAAAATATTTCACTTATTGCATGGTAGATAGAACCGAGAACATGTGATTTATGTCTCTAAATTCATGAATGAGTACGATAACTTTATCGACAATACATCAAATCAGTTTTGTTTTGATTGCTCATATTCTAAAACGTCACTTTCAAATAACATTTCAACCCCTTTGCAATGATATATGAAGTTTACTTTATGGGGTGGGCTAATGGCACCCCTAGCCATTGCTAATGGCACCCCTACTTATGTTTCAAATTATTAGTTTTATGATTTTTTGTGTTTTTTTTTGTCCTTTTGTTATTATTAGTTTTTATTTTATTATTATTTAAATGAAATTATTAATTAATATATTATTTTATTTTCTGTTTTTTATTTATTTATATTATAT